AACTCAACATTTTAACCAATTTAGAAAATCCTGCAAAGATCTTACCAAGAAACTGATAACATGCGCAATGAAATCTAGTAAAATCCTACAAAGATCTTGTCAAGAAATTTGATAATATCTTCGAGAAGAGTCAGTCAAATCCTGAAAGATACCATCAGAAATCCTTTTTTCCAATTTTGAATTATTGAAATCCTGAAAGGATCCTACACTTTCGTGGCTACACATTTCTTTAAGGAATCATCGATTTCCTGACTCAATCTTGATTCAAAAACAATGGTGAACTTGTCAGGATCCTTGAAAATCTTGATTCGAATCCTGTCAAGATCCTAAATTTCTGTGGCTACACACTTCTTTCAGGATTTAGTCGTTTTCTCAAGAAAAAATAGTGAATCCTTCCAAGATCCTGACTATATCTGTCAAGGATCTGGCGCTGAAACATCAAAGATTTTCCCTAGGGTTATGACGATGTTGATGTTTATATCGATCATCTTTATCAGATGATGTTAGTCGTTGCTGTTTATTTCTAAATTGGTTAAAATGTTGAGTTGTAAATAATGATTTAATGGTGATTCGATATTCTTCCAATTTCGATTCATTTCGTATACCAATATATAGCGATCTACTGTTGTCACTTGAAGACGTTGAAATATTAATGATATAAAGTTTAATTTGATGTTGCCGAAGAATTTTTTTAATGTTACGAATGGTAAATCTTCGATCAATATTGCGACGAATAATTTCATTCCGATAGTATCGTTTTCTTTGTTTAAGTGTACATGAACGATTGTGAATTTTATGTCGTTGCTCTTCGGTTAATGGTTCACGTCGTTGTTCATTTAATGATTCATGTTGTTGTTCATTATCATCATCCGATGATATATCTTCTAAATCATTTATGTTGTTATTTGTGTTTGCATTAATACTGTTGTAACTGACGTTGCTTGATTAGATTGTTGTTGTGATGTATGTTGATTTTTTGGAGTTAAATCATTCGATATTATTATTTCAAGTTCATGTACAGGATCAACATTTAATTCTGGTTGTTGTGATGATTCACGTGTTTGTTGTTCATTATTAAGTACGTTCGTATGAACTAATATTTGATGAATTGCTAGACAATCATTGGCAGCATATGTTGCCACTATGTTTCGATGTTCAGTTTCATTTGAATTTCGATGGAATAATGTCGGATCAAGGCCAATATCGAAAGACGAACAAGTGTATCGTTTATCTAACCATTGATTGAGTAAATATCCTACTGCATCTTGCAATGACCAAGGATTATTTAATTGAATAATAAGACATGTTTCACAAGTACATGATGTATCATTGGTAGTTGACGATAATATTAATTGATGAGGATGATGATCGTACCAATAATTTTGTGGAACTCACATATATTTTCGAAGAAAATGGTGAGTGTAAGTTTAAAGGCGAGGTTTTTGCGGCTTCCCACCCCCCCTCCCCATTACAGACATTAATGAGTTTAAAATTGTACTAATTAGCAGCTTGACTAATTGACCATAGTAACTAGTTTAGGGTACCATTACAGACCATCCTAACTAGTTTAGGGTACCATTACAGACCATAGTAACTAGCTTAGGGTACCATTACAGATCATAACAACCAGTCTCTGCTCTTGTTAAATGTACGAGCTAACAATTAATACTCAATTACAGACATAAGTGCAAATAGGCAATGATCTAATTATAGGTTTTAGAAATCAGGGTAGATTTTTCGGATGAATTATTTTGAATTATTTTAGTAAGCCGAAGGGATATATGTGAGTTCCACATTTTAGTCCCAAAGGGGCTGCGCTAGCAAGCTTTTTAAAATCATCTTGAGAATTAATATTATTCGATCGATAAGTTTGATTGGATGAGAATAAATGAA